AGGTTTCACTGGGATCCTGCATCGTATGGGCTCTTGGAGTTGCATTCCAAGCGAGAACAGAGGCCGATATTGAGGATCCTATCTTGCGGCGATTCACTGACGATCTCGTGTTATCAATGTTCAGGATCTTGGGTTGCAAGATCGAGGGTGATGCTTCTTGAGGCTTGTGGATTTTCGCCCTCATCCTCTCCACTTCCTTGAGTATTGTCCTATTATCTTCCTGCTATTTAGTGACTTTTCGTTCCAGTCTCTTCATCATAGCGAAGATTTCATTATTGGAAATTAGCACAGGAGGATCCTGATGTCCTTGGGTAGCGACCAGAGAGTTGTTTTTCTTCGGTGCCTCAAAGGCTTTCTTGGGAGCTCACCATGGGGGGTGGAGGAAGATTTTTAGAGGAAATGGGAGGAATGGAGGAGGAAGATATGGTCGGTTGTGTAGATATGATTTCCAAAACATTTTGAACACCACGACTCCACAGTGGGAGCCAAATTGTTTTGGTGAAATATCAATTAAGTAGAATCTAACCAAATTGTATGAGAGGCTTTGATGCTCGTAGTAAATCAAGTAAGAAATGATAATCAAAGTGACACAAGTGAGTTACAAGGAAAGCCCTTGATCCTTGATATGATATTCAGCATAAAACCTTGGGAGGTAATAATGATCACCTGTTTTGATGATTTTATTGATATAAAATGTTCAATACAGAGATAAATGTATGAATGCAAGTACACTTGCAGTATATGAGCTAAATGTCTCCCTAGTGTGCTAGTAACATGTGTTATTTATAGTGTAATGCTAATAAAAAAGAGTCTGATAATTCCAGGATCCTCCATAATCAACATATGAACGTTATTTGACATGGTATTCCGGGTCTTTTTCCTGGTTGAGATGACTCTCCGTTGAGAATTGGTATTGTGTTGACTCGTTTAGTACATGTGAGAAAAATAAAGAAAATATAGCCGTTACAACTGTTATAACTATTAGTGGTACTAGTCAGGATCCTAGGATATGTTTAAGGATTCCGAGGCTTCAGAAGTATTTGAGGATCCTGAATATGAGTCATGGATCATGTCCCTAACAGATATTATATATATATATATATAATATATATATATATATATATATATATATATATATATATATATATATTATATCTATATATTCTTGACTATGATGTTTTTCATCAACATACAAAACAAACTAATATTGTATACCATTTTGGATGACAATTTGTAATTGGAAATACCTTTCATATTTTTCATGTCAACTTGTTGATCTATTCAATAAAATTTATTTGCAAAGTGATTTTTTTGTTTTAGATATTGAACTTATTTTTGTTGATTTTTACTTATATATATATATATATATATATATATATATATATATATATATATATATATATATATACATAGAGAGAGAGAGTAATTCAATTGAGAAAATAAACAAAGGTTAAGAATGGGGGAATCAATCTTAGCCACTCATTTATATATTGTCGCAAAACTCTTCAATAAAACTCTTTTTTCCACCGCTACCAACCCACTACCACTTCCACCACCTTTACCACCACCCCTGACACTGCCAACCCCACCTACGCCACCACCTACGCTACCGTCGCCACCACCACGTCCGCCACCACAACCACCACTGCCATAACCACCACTACCCCTGCCACCATCGCCACCATCTATACTGCCATCTCTGCCACTGCTGTCACTACCACCCCTGCCACGACAACCGCCACTATCCCTACCTCCACTGCCACCATCACCGCTACCGCTACCACATCCACGACGTCCATCACCAAATCAGTTGTGACTATTCATATATGAATATACATATTTATATATGAATACACTTACTCATATATGAATATAAATAATCATAAATGCATAAATATATATTAATTCACATATGAATAAAATCTGTTCTGTCCTCCCGGTACTTTGCAGCGCTTAAGTGCCGAATTCGAAATGTGTGACCCATATTCATTCTCTCGTTCTCAATCTTATTTTTCTCAATTGAAACATCATCTCTCTCTCTCTCTCTGAATTATATATATATATATATATATATATATATATATATATATATATATATATATATAAAGCGCTGAGGGTGGCGAGCAATGAATTCCACCAAAAAGCCGACCTCATTAGGAATCAAAAAGACCTACCTTAAACCCCCTTATAGCAATAAAGTGGATGAGCCTAGTCGTGATAATACTAATAATAAACATTAAGAAACATGCAATAACGCAATATTTATTTTAGTGTTATACATACAAATACTATTTTACAATATATACACATTTGTGGATTATATGTCTTTTAATTCTATTGACTAAAGGTCAACAATTAAATTATAAGAGTTCTAATATTGTGTATTTCAGTTAATCTTATAATTAAATAAAATTTAACTTTATCTTTTAGTATAAAGGCTAGTTTGCATGTGATTAAAATTGAAAAAGATGAACAACCAAAAAATAAAAATGAATTTCGAAGAATCTAGAACTTCAGGTTCCATGATGTAAGGAAAGATCTACCACATTGTGGCACACAGAAAACGCACGATTTAATTTAATTATTATTTTAGGTTCTCAGCTTCAAACTACAATGCTCTCAAGATGTGACCAAGACATGGCGACGAAGACAATCGTAATCCATGTAAATACCACGACGTGGTGGAGGACCAGTCACGTCGTGGCAAAGAGGCAGAACGACTAAAATTCGTTTTTCAAGCTTAAACAAATTCAATTTCGATCAAGCCAAAGTTCTAGATTTTAAAATGATTTATAGCAGAAACCCTACACATATAAACTCTAACATACTCAAAGGGCAAAGTCTAAGTTCATAGTAAAAATCATGGTGTTACTGAAGATGACGATCAAGAAGACATTTTATTTAAAATTGGAGAAGAAAGAGTTGGCTTGATGTAAATCGGTGTTTAGGTTTAGTATTTATAGTGTGTAATAATGAAAATTTTTTAAATTTTATAAGTTTTAGTCGTTGAAGGTAGATCAAAGAGGAAAGAAGCTCGACATGAGGCTTTCGTTGCCGATGTCATTATGAAGCATGGGGCACTATTTTCCTCATGAATCTCAGCAATGTCGAGGCTTGCTAAGTGCCACTCCTCTAGCTTAATTATATAAAATTATGTTTTATCTAGGTATTTGCTCCCGCGTAAATAAAGGTTAATTCATATTGACAACTAATGTTGTACACCACATAACCTATTTTTGATTTCTAGATCGGCCATTGGCTAGATCAATCATAGAGACCGAATGTTGCATCTTTGTGGATACCATTAAGGTTTTAAAGGTTTTAGTCTCGCTGCACTAACTCTTGGCATGTATAGGAGTTGGAGATGAAAGAGTTTGTGTGGTGGTTTCTAGATTTAGTATTTATAGTGTGTAATGATGAAAAAAGTAGTCGTTGAAGGTTGGTGAAAGTGGAGAGAAGTTCGGCATGGGTTGTCGTTGTCAATATCATTATGATTTATTGGGGCGGTTTTTACCGCATACACCTCAACAATGTCGAGCTTGTGGAGGGTCACTTCCTCTAGCTGAATTATATAAAATTATGTTTGATTAGGAGATTTGATCTCACGTCAAAAGATTTCTAGGTCCATTCCTATTGACAACTAATGTTGTACACCACATAACCTATTTTCGATTTCTAGATCGGACACTGACTAGATGTATCGTAAAGACCGATATTGCGCTTTTGTGAATACCACTCAGGTTTTAATGGTTTTAGTCTCACTTCACTACCTCCTGACATATATGGGAGCTCCCCGGTCTACTCTTATATCTATTTGGTTTGACAATGAGAGTACCATATATATTGTTCACAATAATGTTTTTTTTATCAAAGGAGCAAATTGAGATTGTCTACCATTTTGGTCGACATTATGTAGTAGGAAAGTCCATTCATATTCTTTGTGTATCTATAATAGCTAGATCAACTTGTTGTCTCTTCAATAAAGCATATTTACAAAGTCGTTTTTTATTTCTCGTATCTATACCTATATTTTTTGTTGAGAGAGAGAGAGAGAGAGAGAGTAGACCGTATATATTAGGGATGAGCATAACTGGGTACCCGCCTATTTTAGCTGGAACCGGAACCGCTCCCGGAACCGACGGTTCTTAAGTTATTAGAACCGGAACCGGAACCGCCTACACCGGTTCCTAGAAAATCGGAACTGCTACCGGAACCGCCGGAACCGGTCCCGGTTCCGGGTACCCGGTTTCTTAAATATAAAATTTTTTATTTATAAATTACAGATTACATGGCATGGATATTAACGTTTACAAACATCCGAATTAGAAATGGTATGAAAATAAAACAATTATAAAAACTTGATCTTTTACATAACCACCTATTAAACTTTAAAAACACTTCTCACAATTAAAAAACATCATAGAAAACAATTGCCATCAAGTGAAATTTAACAAGCGACAAAAATGACAAATTACGAACAATAAACATAAAACAGCAACAGGAAAAACAACACATAAAAAACATCATAGCCTTGAATTGGATCCATTGATCTTGTCGTAGTTGTATTTTAGTCATGTGCAACATGCCTAATGGAATGCAAGTTTTTGGCTAATACTCTTCTATTCAATTGATTGTTTAACCAATATATTTGTAACATTTTCAAAAAACAAAAAATATATTAAATTTAAGTGTTTCAACTGTTCGATAACAAGTTAACAATATGTTTTGTTCATATTCCAATACTAGTAGTCTATTTAATTTATATTTCATGATAATTAATTTATTATATATAGTTGCGAAAACTACTATAAAATAATTAAATGTTTTAGTTATTTTTAACAATATAACTTTTTGAAGATGTAATCCTTTTGATTAATATTTCGGTTAACATTTTTACCCCATTGTTAAAAAAGGACAACTCAAATCAATCGATTAATCTTAGCACAGAAAGATTGTAATGGCTCCATCCATATTTCTATTTCAATTTCAACTCTTTTTCATCATATAGGGTATAAATGGTGAGACAAACGAGGCTTCGCCAAGGCTAACAATGGCTTAGCCTTCATCAAATCTTGTAAGTTTTCATTTAAATCAAGGTATGGTTCTCCTGGAGGCGACTCCCATGTGAACCCATGCACCATCCTAGCCAACAACATTATGGCCATGGTCGAGCCCAATAACACCCCACAGCACCCACGCCGACCTGTGCTAAATGACAACATTTTAAGGCTGTGGTCGGTTAGCATCACTTCTTTATCATCATTCATGTGACGATCCGGATTGAATGTTAGCGGGTCCTCCCAAACCTCAGGGTTCCGCCCTAGTCCTAGGCGGCTCAATATCACGTGACTGCCCTTAGGTATAAAGTATCCGGCGACAACAGTGTCGCCGGATGACACATGAGGGAGGTTAAAAGGTGCAACAGGGTGCAACCTAAAAGCCTCTTTCACACATGATTTGATATAGTTAAGGTTTGGTATGTCGGATTCTTGTACAAGTCGATCTTTTCCAACCACGGAATCTAGCTCTTGCACCGCTTTATTGAAGATCATTGGACGGTTTATCATTTCGGCGATTGCCCATTCGATACCATTTGCTGGATTATCAAATGCTGCTAATATCAGTTCCTGTAATTAACACCAGCAAAGTTATTAATCCATATTGCATAAAAAAGATCCAAATTTATGAAGATAAAAAAACTAAAATCACGTTAATCTTACAAAGATTTGAGCTTTGATTTGATCTGCGGTTAGTGAAGGGTTCTTAATGTTGATGAAAACATCAAGCAAGTCGTCTTCTTTTGTTCTAACTCCATCTTTCCATTCTCGAATCCTTTCATCAACCAAACGATCTTGATACTTTCTTGAGGTCCGTATTGCCCTCCTCATGATCGTCTCATGGCCATCAAAATCAGTTATCCACCGCAACCACGGGAAGTAATCTGATGCACTAAATGCGTACAGGTAACCAAGAACTGCCAAAAGCGAATCAACATGCTCGATCTCTTCTTCCCCAGGTCCACCATCTGTGTTCCCTTTGCCGAAATACCTACTCCCGAACAAGATATTCCTTATGACGTTGGTCGAGTATTGTTGCACAACAGTCCGTACGTTCACAATCCCTCCGGTGACCTCAATATTGGTATAACATCGGCTGTAAATGTACCTAAGAGATTAGAGATGCAAACTTTTAGGCATAAGAATTATCACCGGGAAGATAAAGAGTGGTGGGGTCAGTTTTTTTTTTTTAAACGGATAAGAATTAGTCTAAAGAAATGACAAGTGAGTTAATTTATTTCTTTATGCATAAAATGATGGCTCTGATTCCAATAGAGTGCGCACATTCTATCTACATACCTTAGCAGATTATCAGCTTCTCTGTCTCGTTTGTCTTGAAGCCACTTATGCCTATGCGGTGACAGAATCTCCGTGTGCAGGATTTTCCTCATCATCTTCCAATAATCACTCATTGGAACAAGAACGGTGGTCAAGTAACCACCGCTTGTCAGAAAACCCGACATGCAGTTAGGCCTCGAAGAGAAGATTCCATCTTTGTCCTTCAAGAACTCACGAGCAATCTTCGGATCAGTCACAGCTACAACATGGACGTTTCCAAGACGGATGCATATGATCTTGGTGTTCATTTCATCCATCATCCTATGTATCCATCGGAATGTGGGCTTGTTTCGAAGCATTGTGATTATGCTGCCGATGTATGGCAATGGTTTTGGGCCCGGAGGCAGTGGTGGCCGGAGCTTGGAACCTCTGTCTCTGATGAGCCAGAAGACGCACATTGACATGAGAAAGAGAAAGAAGACGATCATGTTGGAAACTGGAAACTTCTTATCTTATATACTACAAATGAAATTAAATTTTTATATGTATGATTTGCACTTTACATATATATAGGGATTTCTGTTGCAAAAAAGAAAATGATTTTGATTTTGATTTTTTTTTATTTTTTTTTTGATAATTCATTATTGTTGGTCAATTCAAAGATAAAAATAAGAATCACAAAAGGTTAACTTTTTGGATTAATCTCGTTTATTTAATTAACTAACTAAGTAATTAATTTCTTTGTCTCGGTTTATTGTTATTTTTTTTAAAATTTAAATTAACGATTTTGACCATTTTGGCAGAATATAAATGACATTCCTTTTTTGAATTTTGCAATTTTATGGAGGGGAAATAAAAAATTACAAGGATCGAAACTACTGAGAATGTTTGAATCATAAATATATTAAATTTAATGGTTATAATCTGGGATCACTTTTATATGAACCAAGAAGTATATATATAATATAAATCATTGGATATATATATATATATATATATATATATATATATATATATATATATATATATATATATAAATTGTAATATTTGACTTTTAAATTGGTGTAGATAATACTAAATTTGAAATAAATTTGATCATTGTACCATTCGTTTCAATCTTAGGACTTAGAATAGTTTTTTTTAAGAAATTTGTTTATAAAATTTAGACTAAATTGCACAAATGGTCCCTGTGGTATGTCGAAAAATGTCACTTTGGTCTAAAAATGTTTGGACTAGCACCAGAGGTCCAAAGTTTTCATTTTGTTGCGAGTTTGGTCCAATTTGTGTTAAACTTTTTCATAATGACGATTTTGCCCTTATTTTTTCTTTTTTCATTTTTTTATTTCATTAAATACTTTTCTGATTAAAAAATAATTTTTTTATAACAGAAAAAATACTCTCTTGCTTCTTCTCCCCCCTCTCTCTCTCTCTCTCTCTCTCCATATCCCAAGAACACATACCACCATCATATTCTTCTTCAATTGCAGACGATGTCACATCCTTTCTTTCTCGTATCTTTTTATTATCTCTACAAACTTAATGCAACTAATTTCTCTCAGGATCTCTCGTGCTCATGCCCTCTGTTTGCGATCAACACATTAAAAGTGTGTGTGTCACTGCTTCCCAGTCGAACAAACCCACACACATGAGGGTTTTTGTGCGCCATTGATTAAATCACACATACATGTTTTTGTTCGAAGTCGATATGAAGGTGAGAGGAAAGGGGCGAAGTCAATTTAGCACTCGATCTGTCATCGAACGACCACAGGATCCGTCATCCTTTTTCTCCCGTCGTCCTTCTTGTTTTCAGCTTGCAAACCCTCATTTCAGATCTGGAACAAATCGTCTTCGTCCATGGCTCGTTCTTCCCCTATAGTTGGTGTTCCCAAAAACGAAAACGAACCAGTAAACGTAGATCCAGAGCTCCAGACGGGGGTGATGTTGGAGAGCCGTGCAGAGGCAATGGAGGTGAGATAGTCGACGACCACGAATTCTAGTAACAAGAGCAAAAATAGGGCTTTCTTGTTTAGCAAACCCGCCTCCAAATCTGAACCATTTTTGTTTTAGATCCAAACAACAACAAGAAACCAGATACTTTTTGTTGTTGTTTTCTGAAGATACCAATCCATCTAAAACCCTAAATCCATAGACCTAAGGGCTAAGGAAAAGAGATCAAATTATTTCAAGTTGCAGAGATGGACATTAGGGTTTACAGGAATATATGAAATCTTGACGAACATCTTAATGGGAAGTGCTTGTGTGTTTGTTGGGTCTTAATTCTGACCTGTTAGTTTCCTTCACAAAATTGAGAGAGAGAGAGAGAGATTTTATTTTTGTTTTATTTTTAATTGTTTTATACAATGTTGTAATATAAGAAAAATAAAAAAATAAAATAATAAGGGGCAAATCCGTCATTATAGAAAGTTTCAAAATTTTTTGGACCAAACTCGCAACAAAATAAAAACTTTGGACCTCTGGTGCTAGTCCAAACCTTTTTGGACCAAAGTGGCAATTTTCGACATACCACAGGGACCATTTGTGCAGTTTAGTCTAAAATTTAAGGGTGATTTATGCAATAATGAAGTTTAATAAAATAATGATGACTGATGAAACTGAAAATGTTTGATCATACATATTTAATTCTATTTCCTTTTTGATATCACATTGGTTATTTATATTTTACGGACAATAATTTTTCAAAAATGATTATTAATGACATCAACAACTATTTTATATTTTATAAATATTTGATAGTTATAATTAATAAATATTCTTAACATGTATATAATATTCATAATAATTATTCATTAATTAATAGATATCTTTAAGCTATATAGATTTATAAAAAAATATTAATAAATATTCATTATTTAACATTGATATAGTAATATTTAATAACAAGTTAATATAGTAAATTTGAATAATCAACCTTATATAAGTAGGAGAATAAGAGTGGGTCATACTGATTTGGATGGGCTTTGCAATCACTTTACAAGCCGTTGTGGAAGACCTTAAAATGGGCCATAAGATATTTATGTAGATGATCATCTTTGGTCCTACCTCGTTTAATAATTTTTGGAATAATGACTTTATTAATAGCCATCCCAACCTAGTATAGCCACAAACTGCATATAGGGACAATCAAAGCACGTGAAATAAATGTCACATACATGTAATTCCTTAGTAGCCAACTCATTATTTTTGCTGCCACAATCATACAGTCCATATCTTATAAAAACATGTTTATACTGATATTAAAATGGAAATCATTTTTCACGCGGTTTCAAGACATAAACGAAAACAAACGTACTATTCAAAGTGTTAGCGTCAATCCGTCCCAAGATCTATATAGAAAGTCAATGACAAAATACTAATAATATTTTGGATGTATTAAGATTTTAACATTGGACCACCTTTGTAGAATTTCATACATCAACTACTAAACTTTTACTGTAAGGGCAAATACAATCATATATATTGTTACATCCTGAATTTCGAAAATATAATTAACATGTAAGTTGTGAATTTTCTGCAAGTAGCATGGAACCAGGATTTTATGATGAGGGCTTACATATATTAAGATATTTTTTATATTAGAATACATAATAGAGTATAAAATTGAAAGCAATATTGATAAAGAAAAAAAATCGTCTAAATAAGAGCTATATCGACCTTTGCAAATCTTCAAAAGTTTTCAAACGATAATAAGCATCTATTCTCATCCATTATCATGTTGGTATTAAATAAGTAGCTAGGACATACATATGATATTATATCATATTAAGTTTCATTTTACAATAACATAATTTTAAAAAAAAATTAAAAAATAGTAAAAGTATAAGAAGTAGTATCTTGTTACTTTAAATTGTGTTCATCTTTGCTTCATAAAATAGAAATTATCTATAATTTTATATGTGGAAAGTTTATTCTCTCTCTCTCTCTCTCTCTCAACCCTAATGTTAACAAGAAGACGTTTTTTAATAAAATCACCATTCATGGTATTCCGAAGACATGTTTTCACAATTTTCACTGATAAGAATGCTCTTTCATATGTCGCGGTAAAAACATGTAAAGTTAATATAAGTTGAGTTAATCTGTGAAGCAAATAATAAATATTTGAGTTTCTTATTTCATATACGCCTATACAGAACTCAGAAAGTATAGAAGAAATTTTCAATGGTGGGTGATTGCATACACATAATTCATAATATTGGGGTTTTGAGCATAACATCATTCCTATGGTGTACATGCAACCCTAATTGCTTTGGATCTAGGTCTTTCTAATTTTGAACATACAACTATGAATACCAAAGCAATAACCATATAACTAACATACATGTTTCGAAAATCACATATGATTAGTGTAGCACCCGCAGATTCGGGCTAGTCAATTTAGAGACGATAAGCGTCAAAAATGACTTTTTTATAGATGATTATTTAGAATAAATAATCTTAACTAATTTTTAGTATATGTCACAAGGTTTCCGTGCATATAAAGAACGTTGAAATCCGAGTTATAACGAAGAAGTTATGACCTGTCGAAGTTTCGCGACAAAACCGGCACGACACCGGGAATCGTAAAAAGTGAGTTTACGATAGAGTACTTTTTTAGCCTTGGGGGTCTAAATGAAAGTTATAGATTACAACTCCACCTACGTGTGGATATAAAGAACGTCAAAAGCGGAGTTCGTATGCAAACGTTATGACCTTCTGAAGATGTAGTTGTCTAAGAGCATGACACGTGTCAGAAACCCTAATCTGACTGTGCTCACGACGTGAGCACTAATTCTCACGACGTGAGGAGTCGAAACGCCACATTTCGAAGCTAGAAGACGCATGACAAGTCTACGGGATGATAAGTCAAAAGCTCACCACATGAGCAATGGATTTCTCACGACGTGAGGAGTCAAACGGACACTATGCAAGCCTAGAACGCAGGTGGTGAAGCTACGAGGTGATCATGCATGGATCACGACGTGAGCAATGAATTCTCATGACGTGAGGGGGAAAAAATCATCCTATAAATAGCTATTTCGACCTCAGCCATTCTTACACCAAAACCTCTTTCCTCTCTCTCGTTTGTTGAAGCCGTTTCCGCTTCCCTAGCCCGACGATCACGAAGCGCTGACCGTTTCTAGTTAGATTCTATCAACTCATGCTACTAAGGTGAGTGCATATTATTTTCATCTTACACATAGATATGAAGTATTTTATATAAATTACGTGTTATGTGTGCATATTATCTGTATACTTGCTATCTATGCTGGATGAACGATTTTATACATGTTTTAATTGATTTAAATTGCATATGTATTTTATATCTACGAATATGTTGGGTAAAACATGGGTAGATGAAATAGTTGGTGTGTGATGAGAGATGAGTTGGATGGTGAGATGAAAGGTGATATAGATCATGAGATGAGGGTGAGAGGTGAAAATGAGAGAAACTTTTACCCAAGCGTTGGCCGCGTCATCTAGCAGAGTATGG